TTTTTTTGTTTTTTTGTTTTTTTGTTTTTTTGTTTTTTTGTTTTTTTGTTTTTTTTTTTTTTTGTTTTTTCTTTGTGATAATCTTAAATTTTGAATATAAACCACACATATTGAAGTGACTTCATACATGCAAACATAAAAGCCTGATATCTATACATAAACTTTACATACACATTTATTGATATATATGTAATCAGAAAATGAGAAAGATGGGAACGAAATTGATCAAGCTTGCAATTATAACTGATCTTACTAGTCTAACAACAAAAATAAGCAGTGTTACATTGCATCGGCCGGTCTCTAACCTGATCCTTTTTCACTCAGGAATAAAAGACATAGTATGAGAATGGTCTTACTCAAAATTTGAGATATCTAGTGTTACACTTTTGTGACACAACTTCACTGTGGCCAAAAAAAAAAAAAAATCCGCTTCAATAATTAAACTTTTCTTCAACTTTTGAAATAATTCCAAAGTCATCAAAAATCATTTTTCATTTCCCTGGATATTCTTATTTAAACCAAAAAAAAGATACATTTGAGTATTACAATAAACTTTCACTTGTCTCATAAAAGAATATAACGAGGGTATTGGTCATAGGATTTTTTTTGGGGGGTCATTGAGTCAAAAAGGAATGAAATGATGTCGTTTTTTTAGGTGGAAGTTGCAAGTTATTTTTGAGATGACATAGTAATTTCATCGTGCCAAATTTCCAAGGGCTTGTTGACGCTGATGAAGAGTGAGAATAAAAAAAAGGCATACAAGAAAATCAATTAATCAGTTTTGATCACTTGATTGGAGTTCAAGTTCAAATACAAAAGCCCACAATTTGTAAAATCGTATTCCGATGTTCTGGAGCGAGTGCGTCAATCTGTTGAGGGGTAAGTGACAAGACTTGTTGAATTAACTGAGCCTGTTGAGCGGCTGCCGCTGATAACGCTGGTTGTTGTGCTTGAGCTGGCACACTAGGGACTGCTGGTGTTGGGTTGGCTTGAGGCATGTGCCCATAGTTCGGTATCTGAGCAGGAGGTGCGCTATATGATCCAGACGATTGTGTAGGCAGAGCAGGTCGAACGGGTACTGGATAAGATGGTGCTGCACCATAACCTTGGTTCATATTTGACATTTGAGTAGGTTGGAGAGTCATAGACGCTGCGTGTTGTTGTTGTTGTTGCTGCTGTTGTTGTTGTTGTTGCTGATGTAGCTGCTGTTGTTGGTGCTGCTGCTGTTGAGCGGCAGCAGCTGGGGCAAGCATACGGGTGAGAATAGAAGCGTCTACAATACCCATCATCAACATTGCCTGAAACAGTGCATAAGTCAATTGCGGGTTAGCCGTAAGTAAGTGCCTCGCTTGTTCGGGTGCCGTAACGACCAGTTGCTAAAGCAAACAACAAAGGCTCGATTAGTAAAAGATCAGAAGAGTACATGTGCGACCCCGGTGTACAATTCCACGGGTCGACGTACTTTCATTTGACTGGTGATTTCAGCTAATTGTCCAGGTGGAATAGCAGCCAAGGTCTGCGAGATCTGATCGGTCGCAGCTTGTCCTGCGGCCAATGGTTGACCACGCGGTAAATCGGGTGGCAGTGCTCCAACTGGACCTTGAGGAGTACCATTGCCCATCGACCTTAATCCGGGTCCACCAAAATCTTCACGAAGAGCCTGTTGGTTCGACCCGGGAGGACGGCGACCTTTTGGAGGGGGAGGCCGACCACCGGCGTCTCTTGTATCATGATTTCCTACATCCGCAAAGTCAAGTCGTAGTGCGCGTCCTCCGATCTCGATCCCTTGAAGATTACGGACAGCTGATTCAGCAGTTTGTGTATCTGAGGTCAAACATGATATCAAAACCAAGTCAGCTATGACGCTCTTTAATTCAACATACAGAGATAGCCGACCAAAGTATTCGCAAAAGCCAAATCCACGGGGTTTTCCTGATTCTTTTTCAAACGCGATCCTGAAGTTTGAGACCGGTCTACAAATAGATCAATTCATTTGACAGACGGTATGATCAGTTCCGCACTTTCACGAGACCGGGTTGGGTGATGGAAGCCAGCGTTCGTAGAATTAGGAGAAGGACTGCATCATACCCAACCGTACCGAAAACCTCCTCGAGTTGTTTCTGGAGACTAAAAGGAGCGAAAGTGTAAAGAATGGTCAAAAATCGTTTGACAGAGCCGGAATGACAGCGAAAAAAGAGCTCACTCATCCGAATGCGAATAGGGCAAGTTCCCTACGAAAACAATTTTGGTTAAACCAGCCATGGTGTAAGATTAGATAGAAAGAGATGAGGATGTTGACTGTTTGGGATGGAAAAGGGTGAGGATGGTCAAGGCCAATCGAAGGAATAAAGTGACTCATTTCTCTTATTAGCATCATCAGCTTACGGTACATAGTAGTATATCAGACCTGCTTATGTGCCTTATGTAGTGCGCTTACCTTGACTACAAACGACAAAAACTACTTGCTGAGAGGGGGATTCGAACCCCCGCAGGTTGCCCTACTGGGAAACACAAACGCGCAAGTTCTCACACTTGAATCCAGCTCCTTAGACCGCTCGGACATCTCAGCTCGTGCCCGGGGCCGGACACCACGTACAGAATGGTGTCGCAAAACCTGTTACGACAAGCCGTCGTACTGGTTGTCGCAGGTGTGGCGGTGTCTCTCCATTTTTCTCACTGTCGCACTAAACTTTTGCTTCCAAGCGTCTACAAAAAGGAACGCCAATGCCATTTCGAACCTGCCCTGGAAGTTTCAAACTCCCATGTCCTAGATTTCAAGTCCAGTAGCAGGGTGTCACCATAACCACTCGCACTACAACGAAAACGTTGACGTTGACAGGGTCAGCGTCGCCCTGACGTTTGCTGGTTTTCGGGCGGTGACATGTACAGTTGACATGCATCCTGATGTACACCCACAGCAAGTCACTGTAGTGTGGACATGCACTGTGACCACCAAAAGTCTACCTCAACTTTTATCATTCTCAAGAATCCCTCAACCTTAATCATCTTACACTCATCCTCCCCAACCCCCACCATACCATCACAACCCCTCGAC